TGGAAGAATAAAGACCCAAGACCTGAGAAATCAGAGCGAGGCCCTGGCAGATTTGAAATCAACACAGGGACTGCCTGTAAATGGACACTGAAGTGACACAAAGATGGTGTGACTAAGTACCGGGTCCTTCTAAAGTGTAGGAGACACATTCACAAGTAGTTGAGGCAGTGACAGACCCAAAAAACTTTGCTGAGCCAATGAAAGTGGACAGATGCTGGGGGGGGGGAGCGGAAAGTGACACAATGCTCAGCTCAGAATGCAGATAGTCTCTTTTCTTCAAGAGAATCTGGTTATTCATTACACCTCAACCTCACTTGGGCCAAATAATTTTAAATTTAAATGGGGAGCCAGAGGTCTCAGTGGCTGGAAAATCTTGTAATATATCACCTAAATCATTTGGTTGCTCATTCTTTCAGGATTACTGAATGCTTAGTTGGAGCAATATTTTGAGCTAGAATCTACCATGGATGAAAAAAGAGGTCCAGATTCTATCTTAAATAAGGCAAGGAGCACCGTTTTGTAATGGGATAGCCCACTGCTAAATTCTTTAGTTTACTGTAAACCTTACACCCAACATGTAAGCTTCTTAGCTTAGTCGTGTTTAAAAGCATGGACCCTGTGATGGTTAGTTTTTTGCATCAACCTGGCTAGTCTGTAATACCTAGTCATTCAATCAAACACTCATCTACGTGTGTTTCTATGAAGGTATTTTGTAGATGTGGTTAACATCTACAATCAGTTAACTTTAAGTACAGAGATTTCCCTTGATAATGTGGGTGAGCCTCAGATACAGTTGAAAGGCTTTAAGAGAAAAGCTGAGGTTTCCCTGGGAAAGAAGAAATTTTGCCTTAAGACCAAACCATCAGTTTGGCCTGAGTGTCTCTAGCCTGCCCTACACATATCGGACCTGCCTGCCTCACAATCACATAGCCAATCCTTACTGGTTCTGTTTCTCTGGAGAACCCCAGCTTACAAGACTCTAGGCAACTCCTTGGGTTTGAAGCTTGGCTCTGCCACTTCTCTAGGTGGGTGATTTCTGCATATCTGTTTCTTCATCTATAAAATGGGGATAATACTAGTACTTAACTCATAGGAACCCCTGGCACAGAGTGCTTTGAAAGTTATTTGTTACAGAAGTAATTCAGTGGTGATGAGTTTACTTCTCAGCTAGAAAACTTGATATATTTTTATACCCAACAATGTGCCATCAACCAAACATGATTGCTCTTCTCCACACCAAGAACAGAACAGCCTTGAAACAGCACCTCACCAGCCACAGGTGCCTGATTGTTCCTTTAGAAGGTGCAGGAGCAGGGAGAGACACCGGGCCAGCTCTATACATAGGGATGATTCAGCAAAGCTCGGATCAGAGCACTTCTGGAACATTCTCAACTCTAAGTTCTCAGCTGCTGAAAACAGCTGTGCTGAAAGAAGCTTGGACTCAGCATAGAGCTATTCCTACCATTTGCAAGGGTGGGAGATTCAGAAAGGGTCCTAATCATTCCCACTGCTTATACCCACAGCGGCCTGCCAAGGGATGAAAGATTAAATGGGGAATATCCAAATGTTGTCTTTGTGGGCGCACAATCTGAGGGACAGAGTATGATGATGGTGCTAACAAAAATTTATTGAGCACTTACTAAGTACTAGACTCTGCTCTCAGTGCTCTACATACATTAACTTATGTGATCCCCATTATACAGGCAAAAAAACTGAGTCCCTAACAGAACAGTAACTCGCCTAAGGATAGACAGACAGAAAGTGGCAGAGTTGGGATTTGACCCCAGGCTTTCCGGCTCAGGCCCAGGCTCTCCCTCCTGTGCACATGCACATTGTCTCTGAGCCTGGCTGTGGTTTGGGGGTGGGGGGGTCCCCACGAACATCTTTCATACACCTAGCTGAGGTCTCCAGGCTCAGGGTTATGAATGGCTCTCCAAAATTCTGGGAACATAAAGTTCTTTCTGAGGCCACTAGGCCCTGTCTCCCAGGTGTTGTCACAGGAAGTGGGAAAGGAATGCTGCTTTCTCTCCAGCTTCGCTGTAGAAATGGGCTGGTCATATTGGCATTTCTCATCTATAGACTTCCCATGATGAGGAAAAGGCTGGGTTGGATGTTCACACAGTGCCTTAATAGGATTACACCTTTAAAGAAACCCATAAAATTCCTTCAAAAAGAATAAACCAAGAAAACATCTCCTCCTGAAACCTTTCCCTTTGGGTAATGACATGAAAACACATTTCTCATTGAAACTCTTCTATAAGAAAAAACTTTTAGTCTCAGATTTCTGGTTTTCTAGTATTGGGATTCCCAGTTTTCACCTACTCTGGAAATAGGTAGATCTATTAATTTAGTTAAAAACATTCCATGAGTACCATTCCAGCTAGTTCTTCCAGACCACTTTCGTGAATTCTTTCACCCCTCAAAGCACCACCTTTTAAAGCCTACTGCTGCTGTCCTGTAGCCACTCAGTGTACCCAGAAAAGAGGCCTTCATGCAGGCAACCACCATACACCCTCCACATGAGTCGATGATCACGTCACAGCCCCTCATCTTATGCATTAACCTGATTAAGAAAATCCTGAGGTTTCAAATCTAGGTTAAGAGAGCCAAATGGTTCATCAATTAACTTAATGGCATACATAAGTCACATCGATTAGTTCTATGACGCTGTCATTTAGCCAAGCTTCCTCTACTCTTGGAAAATGCTTCTGCCTTGCTCTTTTAATCAATGACAATTTAACTTATAATTATAAATCTTATGCTAAAAAGTCACCTTTCATATCAGCTAAGCGATGACCAAAGAAAACCTGTAAAACAAAATTCTGGTTTTTGGCTGTCATTTCACAGGTCTGGACGCTGCAGCCTGACACGAAAGGTACTCAGCGAGCAAGTCTAGGAGTGCACAGAAAGCTCTGTTGAATCCCTGGGTTTTTTTCTGTTTCCATTTCTGTTCATCTGTTTTCCCATGGGCAAGCGGCCACCTCCTATCACAGAGCTGTCCCCATCTTAGGTCAGCAGACAATACGGGCGAAATCTGCGAAGGACGGAGGTACACGCTTGGGTGTGGTCACTGGCAAAGGGAAGTGCTGCTCCCCTGGCTGCAGGCTCTGAGACCAGGGGCCACATCTTTGGCGGGTCATCTCCACCACCGCGTCTCTCGATTTTAACCACAATCCGCACTAGACCGGACTGCTCCCTGTGCGAACACACAGAGGCCCCTCAAGGTGGCCGCCTCCTCAGACAAAGCCAGCTGCTCAGGGAGACCGCTCCACACTGAGGCGACCTCCAGGTCGCCGCCGGGCCGCCACGCCGTCTTGGCTGCTGGTCAGCAGCGTAGGGCAGGCGGCGGAGATGTAGCCCAAAGGCACTAAAGCCGGGGGCGGCGTCTGTCTAACCAGCCCCACAGTCTGGGAGACGCGCGACTCCCACCCGGGCATTAACAGCAGGGCTTGGTGCCCCAACACAAACCCCAACATGAACACGTGCCCTGGGATTTCTCCAGGAGCATTTCTGCACCAGAAAACTGCACACGAGTTCTGGGGGCCCTCGTTAGTTGTCGCGCGGACGCCAGTGCCGGCTATTGTTCTGGTCTCCCCGGCGGGAGACAGCCCCCATTCCACCTCCCCTGGCAGCATATGCCGCTGGACCAAGCCTTTCAGCTCCGAGGGAAAAAAGGGTGTGCCTGCGGCGCTGCGGATCATCACAAAACCCTAAGATTCCCCACGGACTTGTGTCAAGCCGGGAGACAAAGCTCCTCTCGGGGAGAGGCCAGCCCGGTCCCAGATACGCCATCCTGGGTCTATCGCCGGGTCCGAGAGCCATGCCCAGCCGGCCACCTGGACCTCCAGGCCCCACGCCTGGAGCTGAGGGTCCTCAGGCCCGAGACCCGCCGAGATCCAGCTGCCTGCCCCTCCTTTTCCCGGAGACCTCCCTTCCCCCCGAGACCTCCCTCCTCCGCGCCGCGCCAGTCTCCTCCTCCCTCGCGTCTACCCTCCTCAAACTCGGGCATTCTCCACCCTCCAGCATCTCCCCTCGCCGCCTCATTCATCAGCCCCAGCCTCGCCTCGCGCCACCTGCACCAACCTCTTTTCCTCCGTCCTCAGACCCGCCCTCCGCCCCCTTCTCTTTCCTCCTCAAACCCGAGTCTCCACTTGCCCCTCCTTCCAGACCTAGGTCCCCACCCAGCTTCCTCATCTCCCCAGCTTTCCCCATCTTTGCTCATTCCTTGGCCTCGCCTCCGCCTCTCCGCATCCCAGCTTCTCTCCAGCTCCAACTCTGCTCCTCACCCCAGGCCTGGGGCGTCGATGTCTCTCGCCCGCCAAGATCGATGGTGCGGGCCGGGCTCCCTAGCTGGGCTCAAGCGAAAGGACCCAACTCTGCGCCCTCTCTGGGCGGGGCAGCGGCAGGCGGCCTTTGTGGTTCAAGCAGGTGCCTCGAGTGGTCCTCAGGCATCTGCTCTGTTAGCCGGCGGGTGGAATAGGCCGCCGGGTCCGGTCCAGGCTGGGCAAATCCCAGCCCGGAGGCGAGATGGGCAGAGGGTGTGTGTACGGGTGGGGGCTGGGGACAGCGTCGAGCTAGGGACTCGGACAGGACGGTCCCGCAGCCAGGAGTCCCCGCCCAGCCTTCTAGCCTTTCACTGCACCTCGACGAGCGAGAGTGGGCGCCTTACTGTCTGCCTGGAGTGAAACCCCTTCAACCGAGCCGCCTCCTCACGCCGGTTTTTGCATTCCCATGAGCACACTTTAAACACCTACTGTGAGCGAGGCACTGCACGGCGCTCTGTGGGCGTACAAAGAGGACCCGATTCAGGCCCCGCTCTAGCCCAGATAGCCGCCCACAACCCCGAACCATCCTCCCGTCGCGTGCCCTGCAGCGGGGCCCCTAGGCGCACCCGGATCCCCGCCCTTTTGTGCGCCTCTCATAGAAACAAGGCGGGAGATGGATGTCCCAGCCCCAGGAGAATAAGCCCACCGCCCTTCCCGCCATTCCCCATCACCCACTCTTCCCGGATGCTGCGGCTTCGAGGGTCTGTCGGTCCGTCTGTCTCTCCTCGGTCTCGCCGCGGCGCGGGAGCTGCGGATGCTCGGGGCGGCGGCGGCGGCTGCACGCGCGCTCGCTGGATCGCCGCCTTGGCGCGCCGGGCGCTGGAGTCCCAAGCCGCGAGAGGGGGAGGGGACGTAGGTTGGGGCTGGAGGCGGCCTCGGCCAATCACGGATCCGACGGCTCCTCCCCAGTGCCCCCCACCTAGCTCTAGCAGGTTAGGGAGAGGAAGGGACAGGCGGCGCCTTCCATCCTCCGCGTCGCGCGCGGCCGCAGCCTTGGGACTACAACTCCCGACAGGCCCTGCTACGGGGCCGGGGTCCGAGAGGGAACAGAGGGCGCGGCCAGTGAACCCGCCGACCCCCTCTTGGCCTTCTCAGCGTTCCTTTGGGTTTCCATGGTGACTCTCGATGCTTCACAAAGCCGCGGCGCTCTGACGCGCTGATGCCCGGGTCCCCTGGGAGGACTACGCGGCGGGTCCAGAGGACACACCGCCTCCCCTCCCCCCGTAGGATCCCATCCGAGGGCCTGAAACAATGCCCCGGCCGCCTCTCCCCGGCTGCTGCAGAGTCTGCCCTTCGCTACAAGCCTGGCCAGACCCAGGTCCCACCAAGATCCAGTCTGAAGCCTTCGAAGTGGGCGCTCAAAGCGAGATCCCTGGATGGAGAGGGCGGGGGCGGTTGTTATGGGGAAATGTTCTCATGTACCAAGTGGATCGCCACTCCCGGCCACCTAGGTTCGCATCTTCCCCATGTTGGGGCTCGAACTCGAGTTCACTCACGGTGGCTTCTCCATCCAGAACTCTCAGGTCCAGC